AGGCAGAAGATAACTTGGGGTACAGGCTGGATATCCTGATCCAATGTACCTCAGATGAGTCGACTAATGTAGTAGTTTGAGAGGGGGGAGGGGAGGGGGGGTTGAATGGTAGTTATGAGGCAGTTTGAGGAGGGTTGGGCGGTAGTTGGGGAGGAGACGGTGGTGGACCATCAAGATTAACTCTTAATTTTTAAGGGGCCACTATTTCTCTAGTGGCCTTGACGGGGTCAGGAAGCCGCCGGCTTGACGAAGGATCCCCATTGTTCTAAGAGTTTTTTAAGAGCTGGATGTTAAACTGAAGTAATGTCTCGGCATTTAGGGCTTGGGCGGGTAGGCGTCTCCATGGGTTTATTATCCTGGGGTGTGGCTGACAGGTGTTCCCGGGGGGGGGGGCAGGGTACGAGGTGCTGGATTTGAACAGTGTGTGGGCACGTTGGGGCATTGGGGGTGGGGGGGGGGTCATATTGAGTCACCCTGCTTCTTCCGCCCCCCCCCCACATAACCCCCTGTCATCCCCAACCTCTCAATTCCTCTTTTCCTCCTCCCTCTCATTTGTTTTAGTCAGCTACTTGGAACAAAATTTCCATGTAGCACGAGCTACACGGGCCGTAATAGTTGCCTCAACTCAAAAGTTCTTATTTACTGCTAGGTGAACAAGGGGCATGAGGTGAAAGGAAAAGTGTGCCCAACTATTTGTTCCGGCCTGGGACCGAACCCGGGATTCTCAGTTGTTTGTCGAGAACGAACACCACGGCACTACAAAAGAACACCTTTATAGTTTTAGTTAGTTTAGTTCATTTATTATGCACCCCATACCCATCTTGTGGGCGGTAGTGGAAAGGGTTACAGAGGCACATAATGGGCTCAGGGACTCGACCCCACAATTCATTTAGCTAAGCAAGTTACAATCTTGATGAGCTAGTTACAAAATTCAATACAAGTCGTCACATCAACATCGGCTTGAATCTTTAATCATGAATTCTGGCGCGCTTTCTAGGTGACCCCAGACGTGCACCTGAACTGGCGCACTATGACAGGCTATACATTATTTAACCTGGTATCTGTTACGTACCCTTATAAGATACGTAAGTGAATATATTAATATGTACATTTATAATTGTATGAAAATTACAAGCATGTATATTGTATACTTATGTTCTATGCAAATGCACATTCATGTTACAGTGTTGGCGTTAGGCCCAGCGTATCGTGGGAATGATTGTTTATTTCTTTGTGTGATCAGTTTTCCCACGGGAACTAATGATTTATATGTGATCATAAGTGGGTAACAGAGTGAAATAATAATTGAGTGAACTGTATCTGGCAAATTGTCGTGGGATCGTCCGTTGCTGGGGTGTGCATGCCATTATGCTATTCTGTATGCATATTTTAATTACTATGTAAAGAAACAATTGCTTTGTTGTCTATATCAATATGTACTAATTATTCATTAAGTTAGTTTAAGATTACTCTTGTCACAATGTAGTGCTCCATTGTTGAATAATAAATATTGTAACTTTGGCAATTTATTCGCGGGGCAAGGCAATGTGTTTTTTTTGACTCGCATATTGTAGTTCAGTAGCTGGACGGGAGCCGGGGAGATATCATCTTGGAGTTAAGTCATTCTTTTGTTCTAGCCATATAATTACTCTTAGTATTGATTTAATGTCTGGAAGTTACAGTGATATTTTTAATGTGATATATATTGTGACCATATAATCATGTTTGCCTTTGAGATTTATTTAATATAAATGATATACATATGCTTAGTCTTTATTCTTCAGTCCTATGAAGATACTATTGTTGTGCTCATTACCTAGTAAGGGGTTATACTGGTGATTCGCTATTGAGAACAGCAGTTGTGTCGTATCCCTAGACTTATTAAAGTTTGGCTGCTGTAGGATCACGAGCCACCTGGTATCCGCCTGATTGTTCACTTAACACCAGTATCCGTATGTGGTAATGAGTAACGAGGCAACTAGCGTCATTACTCTTACTGACTGGGAGTAACCGGGGAAGCTTTCCTGGCGCGTCCTCGTGGGAGTACACCAACCTCGTCCAAAAAACCGATAGTACTGTGGGTGCAAGTACGAAATTTGGACTTTTGCGTCCAAAAAGTCTTAAATTTTGTACTATTCATTTTGAGAGGGTCTTGAGAAGGTAACCAAACCTAACTAGGTACTATAGGTCTAGTTTGGTAAATATGCTGAATTAGTCCTAAAATGTGTAAAGTCTAGGGTTGATTAGGCCATGGTCAAGTTAGGTTTATGGTTACTGTTTCACTGCTATTGTCTTTTAGAATTTGTTTTGGTACAAAACGTGAACTTTTATTTAAGTCCACACTTCTTTGTACACATCATCCATACGATCTTAGCATTTTAGGTGATGAGTTGGGTAGGACTAGAAATGAACAAATCCACAAGGGCCGTGACGAGGATTCGAACCTGTGTCAGAGAGCATCCCAGACGCTGCCTTAATCGACTGAGCTACGACATGGTCAAAAGGATTGAAACCGAAGTTCTACTGAACTTGCTGGATCCTGCAGCCTCTCAGAGGTACAAACCAGGGTTTTACACAACTCCCCCCCCCCCCATGAAGGGGGGGAGTTTACACGATGTTAGGACTAGAAATGTTGCATGAAACACTTCCAAACTCCGTATAATACAATTCTCATTTGCGTATTTAATAGAATGTTTGATCTATTTGCAGAAACTAATCGCGCAAGTCTTTTATAACGAGTAATTTTAATGTATGTGTGCATGCGTGAGATGGAGGAATTGTGGTTGTTGATTAATTTGAATTTCTTAGAAGGTAATGGTGCAATGACAGACAGCGTGGGAGTGGGAGAGGCAGGGTTGACATCCTCAACCTTGGCAGAGGTAGGGTTACCACCCCCCCCCCCATCCCCCCACCGTGGGAGAGGGGAGATAGGCAGGGATTCCCTTCCCCCACCGGTGGAAGAGGCACTGCGACCAAGGCCACATGCTATAACTAGCGTGGTTAAGGTACCATACACAACCCCGCTCTTGGGCCAGGCAAGTCCACTACGGGCTCACCATAGCCCGTGCTACTTGGAAGTTTTGTTCAGAGTAGCTGAATCTAAAACACAACGTACCATACAGCGGGTTATCTCTGGTGTTTAGAATGATAGTGTTTACCAGTTACCATGACCGTCGCGTTGCCAAGCCGTGTATTGATTATCCTGGTAATCACTTGACCCGCGTGGGGCTTCTTTGAGATTTTCTCAAGTCGCTGTTTATCGCCGGGAAGGTTCTTGTGTTGTCCCGAGGCTTGCGTAGTCCAGACAGTGGTGGCGGAAGCTTCGGTACCCACCAGTGATTACAGAACAGTGACTTCGAGGGCACGAAGTCTAGCTCTTTATGCCCCACCTGTCTTCTTGCATCTGGTTAGGGGAAGAGGTTTACTGACGTTCGTGTTCTCTGTCGTATCTGACCTTGAAGTTGTGGATGGAGGCGACTTAAAAGATTTAACTGCAACTATGCAACAACTACGCTGCAACTATGTACTGTTCCTAAATAAATTATTATTATTATTATTTATTTTAAGTGACTTTCACTGGCTGATCTCCCACACATAATACATATATTTCCTTATATCTCTGACTCATTTGCGTTTTCAGCTTCCACAGTTGATAATTTCTTTTCACCTAAATTTAAACTTGTCCGCATTAAATGTTGCATGTAGTGATCATGGGGCCTTCCAATCCTTATCTCAAGGGGGTTGAGAAGTTCTCTTAACAGGGTTACACTACAAGGAGAAGTTAAGTGTCTTGTTGCAAACCTCTGCACATTTTAAAGATTAGTTTTGTTTCGCGAGGTGTGGCTAATATACTGGCGCTGTGTTTTAATATTGGCCACGTATGGTCTTTATAGATTGCCTTGAAATAATCCTTATTTAGTTTTAAATGCCTTTTTTTAAATATTTGTCGGCTTCCCATATGTTGGTAATGCTATCCTGTTTAAATGTGCCTCTGGCGTTAGCACTGGAATTATATCCTTTAATTCTTTTAGATTCCAATAATTACCTCAAAGTTTACCTTTATTGGTGGTAGTGGTGACCCGGAAGGCTATCTGTCGGCGGCGGTATGGCTCTGTACAACAGTGGGAATATGTAAACTTGTACTAATATGCGGAAAATCCACAAAGAAATCGGAAAGGAAGATGAACGGTTCGGCCGCTTTACAGCCGTTGTCAACACTGACCAGGAGAAACCATGGAAAGAACTTCACTAGGAGGAACTTATACTAGTATAAATAGAACTTTACTGCAATTGCGATCGAGTACATCGATAATGTGAACATTTACGTGTAAATGTGTAAAAATATGTACATATAGACTAATAGATAAAAGTGGACACACTTAACACTATATACATATTGTGTCGCCTAGCGTTATGTATGATAATTTGTTATATAGAAGGCACAGTCGCACTTGAGCTGGAGTAAATCACAGGCTAAAAGTCAAAGGGGAGTTAATCAGAATACAAGATAATCAAATGTATAGGCTATATAAGCCATATATATGGATTGTACCGTGTAAATATTAATGGAAAAATCGGTGGCTATGAAATGTTTGACGCTCGACATTCCTGCATGGGTCAGTGTTGCAATATGATGGCTTGCAAATGTGAGTAATAATAGTCTGGTTGATAGATGTCGGGAAATCATGCTTCTCTGAGTGCCAAGCTTTAAAGGCAGGACGGCCAAACGATAACCTCCCCTGGAGGGAGTGGGAACCCCTCCACCACCCATACAATTTTGTCCGACCCTCTCCATTACCCCCCCCCCTCTCTCTCTCTTTGCCATTGGTGTGATGTTTCAATAAACATTTTCCCAGGTATCTTTATGTACTTATTACACATCTTGAAAAATGACGTACTCGTATAGAGAAGTCTGAAAATACTATCACTCTCGCTGCTGGGGTTGAGGTAAGGTTTGTATTTGCTATGCATATTAATGTGTGAACCTTGATGTGTTGCAGCTGTTTGACCGGCAGAGCTGCACGTACACCTACCTGCTGGCTGACCCAGTCACTAGTGATGCAGTCCTTATTGACCCTGTCATCCAACTGGCAGAACGGGATGCGAACCTCGTCAAAGATTTAGGATTAAACCTAAAATACGTCAGTGAGTTGACTTCTCAATTTTATCTTGACGAGTTTTAACTTGTAGTACTTACTGCACTGTTATTTTATTTTGATAGTATACATACATAGACTAAAATCTAACACTGCTTCATAAGATTATCATGTAGTTATTGTTAAATTCTCATGCAAGCACACCAACCAGTTGGGCTGGACGGTCTCGCTTCATGCAGGTCGGCGTTCAATCCGCGAACGTCAACAAAGTGGTTGGGCACCATTCCTTTCCCCCGTCCCATCCCAAATCCTTATCCTTTCCCAGTGCTACATAGTCGTAATGGCTTGGCACTTTGCCCTGATAGTTCGTTCCTTCCTACATGCAAGCACACTTGTTGCAGCCTATGCTTTAGATAAATTCTGTAGATAAATTTGAATACCTGATCATGCTACGGAAACTGTTTATAATAAGTATTGGTAAGGAACATACCTTTATTACCAAGGAATAACAATATAGTTTTATAGGCGTACATTAATATCAAATACATTTACTATATAAGGCTACATATTATTGGTAAGAACAAGTAAAGCAGAAAGGTTTGAGGAAGGCAAATTCTGATAGTCACAGTTATCAATGAAAGGGGTAAGTAAATTATAGGTTTCTGATGTTTTCTCAGATTTAAAGTCACTCATCCTTGTTTCTCTTTTACAGTTAGTAAAGTTTTACACAATTCACCAATAACCATATCATATCCGTCGTGTAGGTATAGCCATGTCAGTACAGTACGTTATCTTAATTTGTAACTCTATAATAAAAAAAAGTGGTTCTGCATAAGCAGAAATTAAAACCCCAGCAACTTGACCTAACCTATTGAGGTCGATGAAAACACCAATGTTATGGTGCTTTCATATTTACTATATTGCATTTTTGACAGATTGGTCAATGTTGTAATGAGGTTTTTGTTGATAATAACCTGCCAATGTTGGCAGGTTATTGTAAGCAGAGTTCAGTTATTGTGTCGGACGATATACAAAGCTGAAGCTTTACAATACATAGGACTGTAATTAGTTAATAACGTTTTCTTGTACAAATGTAGCAATTGTATTTAATGTCCGGGATATTTTGTTGGGCCTAACAAATATTTGAGACTATTTTATTGTATTTGTCATTCTTAATCTGGGAATATATTGCCAGTGAACACCCACGTCCATGCTGACCACATCACAGGCACCGGCCTACTGAAGAAACTTGTTCCTGGATGCCAGTCCCTTATATCAAAGGTGAGAAATTTGTAGGTAAATTATTATTATTATTCTCAATATAGATATATATAATGTCGTACCTAGTAGCCAGAACGCACTTCTGCCTACTATAACCCGATTTGCCTAATAAGCCAAGTTTTCCATTATTATTTTCTCAACCTCCAACTTTTTTTTTATGAGATGATAAAGCAATTTATATGTTGAGGTTTATTTTTTATTGGAGTTAAAATTAACGTAGATATATGACCAAACCTAACCAACCCTACCTAACCTATCTTTTAGGTTAGGTTAGGTAGCCGAAAAAGTTAGGTTAGGTTTGGTTAGGTAGGTTAGGTAGTTGAAAAACAATAAATTCATGAAAACTTGGCTTATTAGGCAAATCGGGCCTTGCATAGTAGGCAGAGAAGTGCGTTCTGGCTATTAGGTACGATATATATATATATATATATATATATATATATATATATATATATATATATATATATATATATATATAAAAAATATATTAAAGTTCTTACATTCTTGTACAACCACTAGCATGCACAAGTTTCGGGCAAACTCTGTGGAAATACCAGAAATTGGCTTCGTTGTTGACTTGATCAGGGTTCCCTGGTTCGATTCTTGGGCGGGACAGAAATGGTTGCCCATGTTTCCTTTCATCTATTAGTAAAATGTTACTTGGAAGTTAGTCATTTGTTGTGTGGGAAGGGAGGGGTGCATCATGTGGAGGGTCAGTGTCAGAGTTTACTTTAAGGTTGGACCAGAACTGTGTGCAGCTAGACCAGGACTGGTGTGCAAGCCGCTCAGTCATTATCAACGTAAAATGCCTAGAGCAACGGCACAAGATCCTGAGGATCTTGCCAGATATAGGTCGTGTCTGATTCCTACCTGACAAGCAAAACGCAGATCGGTTCATAGAATTTGTAAGATTCGGTGCTAGATCGTAGGAGGTGACATTTTATGGGACAGAGGAAGCAACACTTTGTTTAATGAGGAAGAAGGATTTCCCGAAGCACTATGTGCTTAACATATATTTATTAGACATAAAACGAAAATATATTTACACATGCAAATGGGATAATTGTGTACTCTACGAAGGGTCATGGGCAAAGCTTTTTTCAAGGTACCACATGAGACTGGCAAAGAAATTACAAGCACGCTGAATAAATTGGAGAATACTGGAATGGATAAAAAAACGGTTAAAACGTAGAAAACAAAGTTGTGTTAAATGGGAATGAATCTGACTGGGGAAATGTGCTAAGTGGGGTGCCACAGGGATCCACTTTGGGGCCAACCCTTTTTGTCATGTACATCAATGACATAGATGAGAATATTGCAAACCACATCATTAAATTTGCAGATCACACTTTACCATAGATCTTAGTGTCAAGTGAAAGTGATGTCGAGACCTTACAGTGATCTACATTAACTCCACAAAGTTCAATGGTCAGATGACTGGCAAAATGCTTTTTAATGTCAATAAATATGACCTTACATGTGAGGCATAACAATCCACGTAACCAGTACCAAATTGACAGCACTACCTTACAACAAGTGAAGAAAAGGGCCTTGGAATCAGAATGTATCATTTACGAAAAGTTGCACAAGTGGGAACTATCGGGGGAAAGCGTCAAGCTATTAAACTATATAACAAGTGAGCGCGGCAGTATAAAAAAAAAATACAAACCCTGGGAATAATAAAGTACTGTACCTTTACCTTCACCTTCAAGAAAAAAGAAAGTAGTTGTTCAATTGTAAAAGTACTGCGTGTCCCCACCTGGATTATTGCATTCAGGCATGGAGACCTCATCTTCAGAAAGAAATGGCTGCTCTGGGAAGGTGCAACACCGGGCAACAAAAATCACACCAGAGCTTAGTCATCTCGTATCAGGAACAGTTGAGAGCCACTGGGCTAACAATACTGCAAACCAGGCATGACAGGACGGATCTCGTAACCTTCAAAATACTGAACAGTTTGGACAATGTCTATCCAGACAGTTTCTTCAAAAGGTCGGATGTAATACGAAAAAGGAGCAATGGGTCAAAGCTCTATAAAGCAACAAATGTAGGAGAGAAAACAAGAGATGCTTTTTTCACCCATAGGGTTGTAAACCCGTGGAACCGCCTTTCCGTCGAAGCCGTAAAGATAATCATATCAAATGGGGGGGGGGGGGGGCCTTTTGACAAGCCCTCGGCTTCCTGTCCTCGTCAATGCCATAACTATTAGTGCCCCTCAAGTAAATTCAGGTAATGGTAAAATCTGTACACAGTACTGTCTTGTTGACAGTACTCGGGTGACATGACGCAACCTAACCTTAATTAACACTGTAATAATGACCACCTCGGCAAAACTGGCAGAGTTCAAATTTGGATTGTTTGGTCGAACTTGGTTTGGTCAGTTTGATCAAAACCAAAAAATTTGGATTAAGGACTGGCCCAAAATGCTGTGTACTCACCTAGTTGTGCTTGGGGGTTGAGCGCTTTGGCTCTTTGGTCCCGCATCAACTGGCAACTGTAACTTTACAGCCAGTCACATAACTGTGTGCGCTAGAGGCTGTAAAAGAATGAAAGAACTCTTGTCTATACCTGTGTAAATAAAATGGATTGCACATACACCAATCGCCCCACCCCCCCAACTTGTCAACTTTTTTTTTTTTTTTTTTTTTTTTTTTTTTTTTTTTTTTTTTTTTTTTTTTTATACCAAACTGATGTCAACCATGCAAGTTCTAAATCTGACCCTGATAGCATTCTTACACTGAACACTATCGATGCTATTCATTGTGAGGTATATACCTATAAAGTGCCGATTCGTGACTAAGCTGGGTAATAATTAAAATACTGTACAATGTAATAATTTTTTTTTTTTTTTTTTTAGTAATCGCTTTTAATGTTATACTACTCTCGAAGAACAATTATTTACTTTTTAAATTTTACAGGATTCGGGTGGAATGGCAGATGTTAAGGTTGAACCTGGGGAAACTGTTACATTTGGTGAGCAAGAATTAGAGGTTCGAAAAACACCAGGCCACACAAATGGTAAGGAAATAGGTATTTTTTTTTACAAGCTAATTTCTTAGTTAATTTTCAGTTCTTCATACAAATATAAGAAACAAGAATGTATGGTGCATAAAACAAACTTTTTATTTTATTTGCTAGGGTGTGTAACGTATGTGAACCACGCTCAAAAACTTGCTTTCACCGGTGATGCCTTGCTGATACGTGGCTGTGGAAGAACTGATTTCCAAGAAGGGTCTTCAGAGACACTGTATGATTCGGTACACTCCCAGATTTTCAGCCTTCCTGATGATTACTTGCTCTATCCTGCCCATGATTATAATGGTAATTATATATACGTTTGAATGCCCTCTTTGGCACTCATAATCATAAAGGAGTACCCTGGGAAACTACCAATTAAATCAGTAATTTAATTTTATTTTAATGTTTACTTTTACAGCAAGAATCACGTTGTGATTCAGTTGTTGCCAGCAGCAGTAGTAGTTTGAACTTAAACTTCTAACTCAATTGGAGTTGAACTTGTTAAAAAAAATTTAAAGCACTAACAATTTTTTTTTTTTTTTTTTTTTGTAAGTGTTGGGCATGTTACCACTTGACCCTCATTGGAAAACATAAGTAATTTTTTAGGGTAATTTATTTAAAAAAAATTGCAGAACTATATGTAAAAGTATGGAAAATAATTTTTTTTTTTTTAATCTAGAGATGTACTGTATATCTTTCTACCTTTTTAAAATATTTTTAACAATCGGGCTTGAGTGTACAGGTTATACGAATAGCACACTTGAGCTCCTGCTTGATTGCTGTTCAAAGCAAGATGGTTTTCAATAGGGGCTTGTTTCTTGAAGTTGGGCAGGGCAACACTTGAAATGCATACTGGTACCATAAACAAACTTTTGCAGCATTTCCCATGGTCATACTGGTGTTAGAGAGCATTGGAAGAAAATATCCAGCTAAATTGAGCTGTAGAAAGCTAATATCGGCGTTTGAATGCCCTCTTTGGCACTCATAATCATAAAGGAGTACCCTGGGAAACTACCAATTGATTCTTCAGATGGCAGCACATGAACCACAGTATGGTCCTGATTAAAGAAAACTACATACTGTACCAGGGAAAGGGGGGGGGGGGAGAACCTGGGCAATTAAGTCTGCTGAGAAATATGCTTTTCATAAAGCATTTCACTTTTAAGAACATTTTCTGAGCTATTACACTGGGGTACCCCAAAGTAAGCATAAAATTACTAACAAGATGAGTGAAGGAAACCTGGATTACAGAACAGGTGTGTAGACAGGTCTACAAACCAGGTGTGGGGTCTTTGTAGACAGACCCCACACACTGCAGCTGGCTAGGAAGTATCAGGTGTAAAAGCAGCAAATGGAGAGGCAGCTGAATGTCTCTCAAATAACGAAAGGCAAGGTGGGGATGGTTACCTAGCTGCAATATAAAGGTAGACCTTTAGAAGCCTCTGTCCAGATTCTGCACAAATTAGCGAGAACAAGGCTTCAACAGTTGTGAACGTCCCGAGATATAGCAAATAGGCTTGGAATTAAATATGGTGTTAAGATCTAGTAAGACCAACCACTCATAAGATGAAAAGACGGCAGTGCAGAGCAGTAATTGGACATGGTGTATGATGGATCCACCAACCAGGATTGGATGACAATCTATTTCTGCCAGTATGTGCTGATCTCCTGCTAGGCATGAAATGCAGTATTCGGGTAGAGATGTACAAAGGTTTTGCACCCAACCAAAGATGTTTTTAGTGTGGTATCAGAAAAAGACATGAAATGAGCTCATGAAAGGAGAATGACAGGTATATATTAATGAAGGCCTTCCCAATAATTATTAAAGACTTCATTCAAAATGCATGGCATCAAACATGAAGGCATTGAAATTGAGAAAATGGAGTCATTGTGAGGACCTACAAAAATGCAGAGGTCCAACTGAGGGATGGCAAATGTTTGACTTGAAAGAAGAAAATGTTGTACAATTCTTGCGCCAAGTAAAACAAATCGGATACAGGCTAGAGATGTTAATACAGTACATTCAAAACCCTTTGAATGTAAACTCCTGATAATTTTAAATCCAGAGAAGCCAATAAAGAGGTCATGGTTTCCCCCCTCAGAGGTGAAACAATCAACTGCCAACAAACCATTGGAGATGAGCTGGGCTCCAATCATCTTGGGAGAGAGTAGTTTATTGCTAACCATGTGATCATTATCTGTGTCTTGTGGAAGTCAACTTGTGGTAACTCTGGAGACTAAAGTTAATGACCCAGAAAACTTCAGAGGATATCTAAGCTGCAGACCATGCAAAGCTTGAAGATGGAGGCAGTGACAAGCATGTAAGCAGAACTTGTAGACCTCTCGAGTTACACAGCCCAGTGGAATCTTGACAGCGACAAATGAGCCCCATGAAAAGTATGGCATTCAAATTGAACCAAAGGGGTCACTACAAGAGGGTGGCCACCATGATATCCCACATAGTCCCATAGAGCCAGCCCCAGCCTCTGCAAAGGCTGAAGCTTGGACAATGACTTGTAATATGGAAAAAGAACTTCCAAAACTCGAATCACCTGAGCTTAGGTTTACATACACTTAGTCCCCATGTCTATCAGATGTTGAGGTACTGTAGGCCAAAATTTTGAGCCAGAGGTCAGGTAATTATTAGACTGAAGCACTACGCCAGTATGACTATGCAGCCAAATGGTGCCAGAGTTGGAGAAGGGCTACCCTGGTAAGTCTGAATGCTATGAGTACCAGGTTCAGCTCAAGACGAACCACAGTACCATGGTTCCATTATAATATAATATAAAACAAAGCCATGGTTTACATGGTACAGTACTCGTGGTGACTTGGGCCATGGAGGCTAAGCAACTCCCAAATTCATAGATAACAGACCTCTAGTTGAAGAGTTGGCTACCTAAGCCAGCAACAGTAAGATGCTATGGTTAAAGACTCCCCTTGGACATGTCATGGCCTCCCATTACCTACAAGACAACAGGAATTTGTGATACCTGGTCGAGGAAGGCCAACTAATTCTGGCAGAAGACTGAAAACTGAAGAAGGGAGACATCCTTCCACTCAAGAACTTTAGACTTGCAAGAACAGTGCCATTTTCTCAAGATATAGAAGGAACTAAAAAGCAGCAGCAGAATTAATCTAAATAAACCAAACCAGGGTCAGTTCCAAAAATTTCCTCCAGTGTACCCTACTTCTATGACTGTTGAGAGATTTGATAAATTTTCTTGGTAACTGCAGTGCAGTACTGTACCTAAAATGTCACCCTGTCAGACTGTTTGTTCCACTCCATTGACAAAAAAATCTTGCCTTAGAGGAGAACTTGAGTCAAGTTCTTCATCTTGATTACAAAATGAATTACATAATTAGATTTTTAATACAGTACAGGCCTGTATTCTTAATCATTTACTTTTGTTTTAGGCCAAACTGTAACGACTGTAGCAGAGGAGAAAAACTTCAATCCAAGGCTTACAAAGTCCAAGGAAGAATTTATTGACATTATGGATAACCTTGGGTTGCCATACCCTGAGCAAATAGGTAAGAAAGGGATATGGCTTGGTAATGTAAGTAGAAAAGTGTTATTAGTGTACAGGTAGTAACATAATGAATAAAAACATGTGCATAGTTTGGCTAAGCTATTATTATTTTTTGTTATATGCATAAAACAAAGGAATTGTATTAATTCAATAATAATTTGTACATTGTATCCAATAAGAAATTGGGGGACTAGCTCATAAAGCATATCCCAGTCCAATCTTGTGTATGGGAGTGCATAGTAAACTAAACTAATCTTGTATATTTTAAATTTGTATACAGTTAGTGACTAGCTACCCATTTTCTCATGCTACCTGTTTTGAGTGATTCAGAGTCTGCTCAAGCATGAAGTGTGATCTCCACATTTGCTTGAATTCACTCTTGTATGGCTGGTAACAAATTGACCCTAGTCAAGTATTGAAAGTACTGTACCATGAGAGTAAAAATTGTAGGCTTTAGTTCTCATGAGATACTTGAAATATTGTGTGCAGAACTTTTACAAATCTTAGTGCCAGCCTTGAAATACTTTTTGAAACAATAAGGACTAGTGAAAGTGGTCTGTTCATCACTGCTTATGAAGCAAGGCATATTTCCACAAAACAATGTATTATAGCTAAAAAATTGCCTGTTTCATTGCAAGTCACTAGTACAGTGATCTTATAACTAAACTTTTTTAAATGCATAAACAGAAATTTTTGACCTGTTAGGTTATTAGGTATATAATGTGTTTATTTTAATATAGCAATTTAAATAATCAAGTACTATTTTCTATCTTCAGATGAAGCTCTGCCTGCAAACAAAGTGTGTGGATTGTATAATCTACCAGAGGACCTGGCTGAAAAGTTAAATGCCGAATAACAGCATTAATTGAATTACCATTTATCTTTCATAGATAAATATTTAGACCACAAAGAAGTAATTTAAATGTAAATGTACAGTAATCTTGTATTAGTATACTGTACAGTTGTTCGAAAGTAAGCACAGTAGTGTATATAGGTACTGGTATTGGAAATACAGTAACTACATGTACAGTAATTCAGAGTGCGTGTGTGTGTTACACTGTTCTAAACAGAGGGATAGTATTGCTATTTACTTGTACAGTGTGTGTGTAATTTTAGAAAATACTTTAACATGTTCTGTTACACTCTACTGCTAACTCACAATGAATAAACTTTTTAAACTTCTTTAAATGCATAAATGTAGAATTTTCTTGTTTAAACAAAATTAGCTGATTGGAAGTAATGAGAATTGATCCTTCAAAATCTTCATTATCAATCCTTTGTACAACACTGCTTGTTACAAATCTGTTTTCTAACTGTAATTTTAAATCATTGATATCATTCAGATTACACAACTTCTTATTATTACAACTCTTCTTTTTCTATAAAGTTCATTAGAGAAATAAGGAAATGGGTTGTTGGATTCATCGTATCCCTGGTCTGTTGTACCACTGTCTTTCTGATCTATCTTGCTCTTCTTCATACTTCTGCTCTTCCTCGTTTTTCATTTTTTTTTTCTTTTAAGATTTTTCTCAGACTGGTTGCTGCTGCATATAGACCAAAGAGTGTCCTGATATTGGTGGTGAGATGAAAAGAATGGTGTGGGTAGATTTTGTGAAGACAGAATGTGAGTGGTGTATAATCATATGTGAGGGCGCATCTCTCGCACTCTGGATCCAAGTAGTGTCTGGGGCCTTCTTGGATCTGTAGCACAAGACTGTTACGTTATTGTAGATAGTTTAGTGGTTTGATATTTATTTAGTCTTGGTTACAGCAGTCAGTTTTTGGCAGAGTCATAGACATTGAGATGAAGCCTGGAGCAGTGCTGAGTGTGGCTAGTCGTGAAGCTTGATACAGGACGAGTGTGTGGCAGTTCGATGCAGGATGAGAGCATGGACACTAGAGGTGGCAGAGATCGTGGGAGCTCTATGGGGAACAAGTGTGAAACCTCGATGCGGTCGGTGTCTGCTGTGTCGAAGCTGAAGCGTCTTGGAGTCGATTGGAACTGAATACTCAGAGTGCTACATTCTTGAGGTTGAAGGTGTGTGGAAACTCCTAAGCGTCTGTACTTAAGTTAACTGAACCACTGTGGAGATTATACCGATGATTACTCGCCTCTTGATTGCTCATGTTATCAAACCACACCTTGTCTTATCGTCCTCCAATAGGTTAGAAGGAATGTTAACTGTAATTAGGGAAGAGGTATGAGTTTTCTCATTAAGCTAATGAGTTTGGAGCAAGTATATTATTTACATAATATACAATATACAGTACATGATTGCTGACCTGGAACGATCCTTTCCCTTTACTAGTCTGTTATCACCACTACGAATCTCTTTATAAATTTTTCTTCATACATCTGAAAATCTACATCTTCAGAAACCTTGTCCAAACTCGACAGATTTTGTTTTTACAATGCCTGTGATTGCAAAAATACCTTCCTCTGTTTTAGGGATAGTCATGCCACAACTATAGGACAAAATGAAGACAACTTGAGTGGTGTAGTGTCACTTATCACTTACAACATAAGTGATGAGTGTCCCGAGATCGGTGGTCGGATGAAATGGATGGTGTGGGCAGATTTTGAGAGTACACTTTGAGTGGTGTATAATCATAAGAGGAGTGTGTAGGCGCATCCCTTGCACTTGGGATCCTAGGAGTGTCTGTGGCCTCTGATCGCATTGTAACGGTTCTATTGTTACGTAAAGTATGGTGACAAATAAACACACACTAAGATACTATATATATATTTGGTCGAATATACAGAAGTACACAGGTGATACTTTGGTGTGAGTTGAGCGCACTGAGCGTCGGTACAGTATCTCGCAAGTGTCTGCTCTAGACCACACTTGAAAGTAGACTAGTTAATGTTTGCCATTCTGCTGCTTATATGCTCGGGCAACACCTCACCGTGTTGCCCGGGCAATGCCTCGCCTCATTCATCTCCAAAGGTTGACAGGAATATTAATGCATTTGGAGCGAGTATATTATTGGGATAATCTACTCGCTACAGCATTGATGTCTCGTTCTCCTTATTCCTACTTTTTCCATCCCTAAACAAATTGTATGGCAACCGATCCAATATCTGATCAGGTTCTGCCAGACCAACACTAGGGATTTCAACTGAAGTACAGATGGCTCTTTCAGACATTGGCACCTGTAATGAAAAAATAATGATTTACACAAATACTGTACAGTAATGAAGTAAAAAAAAAATACTGCATACACTACAGTATCGACTTCATCCTGGCTACAATTGCATTAAACGTCGCGACTTTGCAGTAGTCGAACGGCTTCAACAGTGCAAGCTCGGACTTAACCATGAGTCTTGAACATAAACACAAACAAAACAAAAAATTTTCCCCCACACCTTGCCTGAAAAGCTGTGCTTATTAGTAGCTTTAGGTATTGTATGTACTAGCTCTCTATAAATCTAACATTGTTTGTAACTCATCTTCTGTGTACTTTTACCTGAATAAACTTGATTTATTTTTATTGGGTTTTGGTGAACCTTGTCCTGGATCAGGGTACATGATATAGTGAGGTGTCCAGTTGTTTGGAATGGTTCTTTACATATTGAATTTAGTGTGTAGGGACTTAGTAGTAGCAACTTTGGAACTGGCATCTTGTACTGATGGCACCTCAAATGTTTATTGTGGCAGTATAACAGACAAGGTTAATGTAAATACCTGTTTACTCTATAAACCAATAAAAACATTAATTTACAACACTTATTATTACACAGGTAGCATTCATTACTTTCGGATTGGTTTCTTTCAATGCTAATTGTTTCGGACACACACACTTGGATGCCTGACTGACCGATCATGCTGAAAACACTTCTGATCTTGTCTTAATACTTTCTTTAGACAACCAATCACAAGACATCTAACATTGCAAAGGACTTGTGTGAGTGCCTTCTGGATACTCTGGTAATGACATGCACATTTAGCAACTGTCGAAGCCAACAGTAAATATATCATGCTCATAACTAAACATGCTACATATTCAACACACTAACTCTTAGTGAACAATGTGATGCCACACTTATCACTTGTTCACCATAAAGTCCATTTTTACACTCAATGTGCGAGTGATCAATGTCAAGTAATATCGGTAAATAAATTATAGTAATAATACTTACAATAACTGGCCAGCCTTATTCATTCGAACCCTTACATTCACATACAGCAATGCAAATCTGAATGGCAGGTCTTCTTGATACATAAGTCTTGTAGAAGGCATGCTGATCATTCATCACCAATCGAGATTGTGGTGGAGGAGGTGGGGAAGAAGGGAGTTAGAAGTGGTTATGATGGGAGAGGAGGAGGTGGTAGTAGTAAAAGTGGATGAGAGGGGTAGGAAGTAGTGGTGGAGGATGAGCAGGAGAGGGGTTAGGTAGTGGAGGTGGTGAGGAGGTATAGTAGTGGTGGAGGGGAAGGTACAGTAGTAGTTCAGGCAGAGGGGGGGGGATGGGGGATGTAGTAATGCCAACCCCATCCCCACTAATTATTGGGGGAGGGATTTCTGGTCACTACTTCATCTGGGAACTATGTACTGTGGGGCGGGGTTTTCATCTGGTAAATAGAGGCTCTTGGACCACCAGCTGTGGGAGCGGGGCGTCTCATCTTGAGTAATCTTTCTAACATTGGGTCCTCAAGCATTTCGATGGCATTCCACACCCTGATGGCTTGATGCTGTAGTCTGTTTAGGAGTTCATGGAGCTTCTGAATTTTCTGATCATATGGTGGACAGTGTTTTGCTGCTCTCCTTAGTGCCTTATTTTGCACTGCTTGTAGTTTTTGCACATTGGTTTTCTGTAAGTTGTGTAGTGATACTGGGGAATACTCTAGATGTGGCTGGACTGGAGCCTTATATAGGTGTCTGTTTATACCGAGGCTTCGGAATCTTCTCGGTTTTCCTAATTCTGCTTTGGCTTTATTTAGTTGGTCCCTTAAGTGAATTTTTATCCCTGTTCTATTGATCACGCGTCCCCATATTCTGCCTACATCCCCATATTGGATCGGGCGGCTGTTAGGGATAATGGGGTCGGTTTCTTTTTGCAATGTGTGTTATCTAGAACTTAAGTTTATTTGTGCTTATTTTCCATTGCTTCTTAAAGTTTATGAATTAAATTGCTGCCGTGTTCTTCTTGGCTAGTAGCGGCTTTGATGGTCCTGGTTGACATATTATTTGGGTGACGTCATCAGCGTATGTGATGTATTCTCCATTTTGGGGTTGGGGTAGGTCTGCTGTACATATGTTGAATAGTGGGGGAGAGGGGCAGCTTCCTTGTGGTACTCCACTTTTCAGTTCTATTGTCACCCAAGTAGCTGCCGATATTGAGCCTAGCAGTTCTGTTGTCTGTAAAGCTGCAGTGTGTAGCAGTAAATCTCTGTGGGAGTCCTAGCTAAGATATATCATTTTAGGTCTGTGAGCCAAATTTTGTCGAAAGCTTTAGAGACGTCTCTAAGCACTATACTGTATTACACTGATCTCTTTTTTGACATTGCTATAGCTGTATGGGCCCCTCTGCGGTTTCTAAAGCAATGTTGCCTGGTGCTGTACTTCTCTTCCTCTTCCATGTTCTTTTCAAGTCTATTTTTTTGTAATATTTTGCCTGGTACTTTGAGGAGGGAAATTGGTCTGTAATTTTCAATTTGGGTTGGGTTTTCCTGGCTTGGGGATTAATCTGATTGCGGCATTCTTGAAGTATGGGGGGCAAGAGCTGCATTTACTATAAATGTGTATTAATGGAGTGCAATCACTGGTAGGTTGGTTAATAACGTTTTATAAATCCTGCTATTGCCCGGCACCTTGTTCTTAAAACCTATAATTGTTTTATGGACCTCTGCTATGGTGGATTTTTTCATAAGGTGGCATGCATTGCAAATGTTGGTAAGGTCTATTGTTTGCATCAGGAGTAGTGTTGCAGCTCTGTTATCGACTTAAGTTGTAATTTCCCTTTCAATGAATGGGCAAAAGTTTAAATTTTCTAACTGGTTTATCCTGAATATTTTTTCTCAGAACTCAGAACCCAGAATTATCAGTCATTAAATGAAAAGACACTGTGGTGGAAAAAAATATATACTTAAGCACTTTTAAACTTTATAGAAATCATGATTTGCTACCTTTAAATGCATATTTTTACAGTTGGTAATTTAAACAAAGAATATAGAAGTTATAATGAATACTCTGGATTTGGAACTGACCAACGTATTTGTATATATAAAAAAAAAATACTGGATAAGTGATTAAGCCCATACTAAAAATTTGCAGAGAAGTACAAATTTACTCAAAATAAAACTAACCCGTATTTCAAGATACAACAATGAAGGTGGGAGTGAATAACACTGCCCACTAGCATGCATCTATTATGCTTTGTTTCTTTTATACAACTGCATGCAACATGCTAGGGGGAGCTTGATTCTAACGATTGATTTTGAAAGTTGTGAAAATTTATACATGTTGAATTATGATCATAAATTGAGCCTAAATCTATACACATGTCAGTGTATAAAGCATTTCTGTACGGGCATTGCATTGGGGTTTTTCTGTGGCATGTAGTACAGTGTTGGTGGAATTTATAACAAATCTGTTCAAATGGACAAATAACCTAATTTTTAAAGCTGTTGTTGTAGTCTCAACATTTTACTAGTCTTCAGCTGTAGTAATAAATCATGAATTTGCTCCAGAGGAGTGAATAAATTGGCCCTTATGAACCTAACCTGAGCATATTTTATGACAGCTGAGTAAAAAAAAACACTGTACTGTACTTTGCATCTTGTATTATATGACTGCAGGTTTCAGATGTCATTCCTCGGCAGCAACCTCTACACACGGCAATACATGTATGTAACAGATTTTAAACTAAATAATAATGAAACTATATAATGATAAAGTACTTTTTAATTTTACCAAGTGACATTAATGTATTAATATATGTAATAAATTAATATAACTCTACTTCCAGGCAACACACAGCCCCCGTTGAAATCCCTAAACATGCTAAACATACATTATCTTGTGCCAATTGAATTTTTTGTAAACATTTTTTTTAATTTTGCTAGAAAATACCTTTTTCTTAATTTAATTTAATTTAATTATTAAGTATGCTTGTATAACTTTTGCATGGATGACATTACTGATAAGGATATAGACATTTTATGAAAATGTGTTACAGGTATACCACATGTAGTCTTGCATGATTATTAAAGGGGAAAAAATTAGATGGTTTTTGTTAGAATGGCCATTTACAGAATTGTTATTTTCACATTTGAATGACAATTACAGAATTATTTATCACAGGATGTATTTTTTAGCACCATGAAATAACGTCAAATAAAATAAAATATTCAATAATCAATCAATAATAAAAATCAAACAATACAATAAAACATCACATAAAATAATGAAAATGAAATATTTCTAGGAAGAAATAAATATCTCTGAAAGTCGAACTTAATCTGTGTAAAAACACCAAGCAAATAAAGGGACCTAGTCTATGGAACTCACTCCCTAATGAATTGAAAAGCTGTCCAACTTTTGCCTCATTCAAAAGCAAAACCAAAAAGTACCTTATTTCATCTTAATAGTTTCCTACCTTGTGCTTTAAACTTGCACAGCTGTAACTATAGTGCTACCCAATCTCCCAATCTTTATGTACCTAATCCAAATAGCTTTACCATTGTGATCATTGC